ACACACTGACATTTACTCTGCGCTCATTCAGCTCCCTGCCTCCAAAAGCTCCAGCACCAGAATGGGCCGTTCATACAGAGCTTTGCTATTAAACGCAGCTCTAATACGCTTTCTCGCCACACTGTATCTTCTTCCTCCTGCCGAGCATCTCCGGATAGCAAAACTCGCGCTGTCTATGTTGTCCCCTGCCCCACCCTATCTCAGCTTTTACCTCCGGCCTGTTAAAAATTATATCAGCTCGTGGAGGGCGAGCATTAGCATTTGCATTTTATTGGAGGCATGGAGATTTAGAGCAGTGGATACATCAGCTCTGAGCAGACCCCCCCCGTGGGGGGGGGGGGGCTGGGAGAGGTTGGGCTTTGTTTCTGGATGCTTTGGTGCGCATTAAACGCAAAGAGCATCGCTGCGGCATTACGGTTCACGATTCGAACAACAACCCAATATAGGGTTGATAAGTGTCACAAAAGGTCACGTCTAACGATGTGACCTTGCGTTCTTAATGACGCCGCACATAATCTTGCACTAAAATTCAGCAGAATCGTGGTGTAATTGCACTTGCGTGTGTGTTTAGGTTTTTTAGGTTCGGAAAGGGATTCGGAAAACCGTCACATATCGTACTTATGAGGCCTACAGGACGCTGAATGCTGATCCAAAGGAAGTGACGGCGCTCAAATGCACACTGTGTGTGTGTGTGTTCTGGCGGTTTGAATGGTGGTGCAGTGTGGATTGGACACTGCTGCAGTCTTCCCCTCCCAAACTCCAGCCCTCGACCACAGCTGTTCAGTGGTCCCCTTGACAGCCATCTATTAGAGCTTATGCGCAGCAAAAACCCATCGGACCACATGCATCCCAGAAATCATGCACACAGACTCTATTCGCCGCTTGCTGACTTTTTTTGCTTCAGCAAACATATTCAAAGCGTGCACTCTTTGCTTATTGGTAAAAACATCGCTCAGGAAAGGCAAACCCCAACGTTCGGCTCGTAGTTCAACATTGTGGCTTTCACCATGGGGATTATGACTTTAAAGAAATAGTTTGTCCAAAAGTTAAAATTCTGTGATAATTTACTCACCCTTAGGTCATTCCAAACCTGTATGACTTTCTTCGGTGAAACAAAGAGATATTTTGAAGAAATAAATACAGAAAGAAAGGCATACACTAAATGTAATGTCATGAACTTTTTTTTTTTTTCCAGCGATGCCATAACCATTCAGTGACCAGTTTTTAAAAGAACATTTTAATAATCTAAAGAATATTTTGTGTATTGGAAAGGATCCATGAATGGTTCTTCATGTCAATAAAGACCTTTGGTTTTAATAATGTAGAACCACGATTTTTGGTTCCCCAGAGAATTTTTCTGTGAAAAATTCTTAAAAGCAGCACTTTTTCTTAGTGTGAAGAACATTCTAATAATCTAAAGAACTTTTGTGAATTAGAAGGGTTCTATGTTTATTAAAGGTTCTTCATGGAACCATCATTGCCAATAAAGAATCTGTTGTTTTAAAAGAACCACCATTTTTGGTTCCTTAAAGAACCTTTCAGTAATCAGTTGTGTTCAGTAATCAGTTAACAATTTTAATAATCTACAGAACCTTTTTCCACTTTAAAGAACTTTTTGTGCAATGGAAAGGTTCCATGCTCTTAAAAATAATGTTTTTTATTGGTTCCATAAAGAACCTTCAACATCTATGGAAACTTTCCATTGGACAAAAGGTTCTAGAGTGGAAAATGTTTCTTTAGAATAAAATGTTCTTCACAATAAGAAAATAATGGTTCTTTTAAGAACTGATCACTGAAAGGTTTTTTGGGGAACCAAAAAAACTGCAAAAACCCACTTTTTATATGGATGTTAAGGAACCCATCAATGCCAGTAAAGAACCTTTAATTTAAGAACATACAGGTTTGATTATAGATTTTTTTATTTTTGGTCAAACTATTAATTTAACACACTAATCCTAATACATTTCAACACTAATTTTGTTCCCGTTTTCAAATGTGACTTCACATATTCTACACTCCGTCTCTCCTGATCTTACATTCCTCGAGTCCTGGTGGAGCAGAGCGAGTGTGACAGCTCTCCAGCGTTCCATAAAGCATAAATGCAGCCTCTCAGCTATCTGCTGAGACTTCTGCTGCCCAGGGCTGAAAATTTACTAGTGACCTCTGCATTCCATTTCAGAGCTCAACCGCTTCCCCCTTTTACCCTTTGGAAAATTCCACTGAGGTAGTCGAGAAAACGGCATTACAGGGAGGGGTTACGGCTCAGACATTAGACTCTTAGGCCATGAAGGAGCTACAAGCCACATTCACAATAGAAACACGATACGAAAGGAAAAGAGTGAACTGAAAGCCTATATAATGAGGCTAAAAAATCAGCAGGGCTTGGCTATTGTCGTCATCCATAAGATAGGACTGCGATATTGAATATCTGTGAAATTGAGCAAGGGTGGACTATGGAAAAAATGTACGGCATTCATATAAATGTTCTGCATGGGGAAGTTGCATGAAACGGAGTAAAACTGGCATTAAAGGCACAATATGTAATTTTCGCCACTAGATGGCGCGTATTCAAAATAAACAAAGAGGCAAAGGCGTAGTCTGATGACGCTGTGACTGAGTGTGGAATCATGGGAGTTGTGTCTTCATCCCCACAGCCGATGCAATACGACGGGACTCGGGCAGAAATCATGTTCATAGATGAGCTAATGGTTTATTAACTAGTAGAATGAAGCAGGGTGAGGCTGAAAGCCGTCGAAGCGAAACGAGGCCGCTGAAGGAGCGTGACACACGGCTCAAAAACAGGAGCTTTTATTATGCCACAGTCGACCGCTTCCGCTCCTTCCGGTCGTGCGTATGTGGGGGAAAAAGCAGCGCTGTTTTATCATACGATACATTTGAAAGTTCTGTTATTATGCTACTCTGTGCGGTCGTCACCGGTCTATTAAAACGCACAACATATTAAAGC